GGCTCCATATGAAGGAATTTCAGCTGAAGCTGCCAATGCTCGAGCTATCAAACCTCTCTATAGTGTACGACGAGTTCTGCAGAAGCTTCCTTCGATAGCTGCAAGCGATCCGACTCAGGCCAAACGACTCCTACTTGGTCTACACGAGAAGATGTGGCATGCAACGGCTGCTGACTTCACGAGCCTACTTCAACGAGCAGGCATGCCGCAAGCCGTGTTGGACCTGATCGGAGAAGCTGTTGCTTCCTGTGCCGTGTGCCGCCGATACTCAAGGCTTCCAAGCAAGCCAAAGAGCAAGGCTACTCTGGCAGCTCAGTTCAATGATGAAGTTGAGATGGACATCTACTTCCTTTGGGGCAAGGCTTTTGTTCTTTTGATCGACGTGGCCACACGCTACAAGGTAGCTTTTGAGACCCCAACTCGATCTCTCGATGATCTTCTTCGAGGCATGCTTACTCACTGGATCAGGTACTTTGGACCAATGCGCATGCTCACCTCAGATCAAGAGACTTCATTGATGGGTCCTGCTGCCGCCATTGAGTTTGAACGCCTGGCCATTTGTCGCAATCCCAAAGGCACCACTCAAGGAGAAGCTGCCAAGCAACACACTGGCACAGGTCTGGCAGAACGACGCATCGGTTTGACCAAGCTCACCATGGAGAAGGTCAAGGCAGAGCTCGATAGACAAGGACTCACCATGGAAGATGCGGACATTGCTGCTGAGTCCGCAATGTGTCAGAACCTCCTCATGACCTACGGTGGATATACGCCCTGCATGGCAGTGTTTGGAGTTCTTCCTCGCTCATTTTATGAGTTTGAGTCCACCACTTTGACTGCTGTTGATGGAGCTCGAGAACGTGATCCATACATCTTCGAGTCTGCAATGAGATTGCGTCAAGTTTCTCTGGCTGCAGTTCAGCAGGCCATAGCCGAAGATAGAGTTGCACGAGCCTCTCACAGCCGACCTCAGAAGGTGGACACCTCCGAGCTGACTCCTGGCACGTCCATGGTGGAAATTCATCGAGGAGAAAGTTGGCGAGGCCCTGCAGTGCTGTTGGAAGTCAATGAGAATGAAGGCACCGCAATCGTTCGACATCAAGGAAAGCCATATCTGCTTCCTGTGAGATTTGTCCGCCCTTTTCGTGGTGTGTTCTTCAACATGGACACCACAGCTGGCACCACCTTGCATCAGATGATGGCCATGATTGAAGCAGCTCAGCCCTACAAGCAGCACTTCCTCGGCTACAAGCTGATCCTACGCTACGACGGAGCACACTGGAAGAACATTCCTTCAACTCCTACAGAAGCACAACAGAAGATTCTGTCAGCATTTGGACAATGGGAAGAATGGGCTCAGCACCCCGTCCACGGAGTTCTTTATGGACAAGCATGCCATACACTTCATCCACTACCACACACTCGTGGAACCATTTTGACATGGTTGAAGGGCACCTCTGATTACATCAAGATCCACAAGGAGGATGACAACTCAATGAAGCTCAAGGATGAGTATGGCCAGCGCTGGGAATCTCTTTGCGTCATGTACATCTTCTACTACCCGACCAGCACTGAGATGGCGCCTGCAGAAGCACCTCATGGAGATGAAGTGCAATCAGCTCCTGCTCAAGCACCACCTCATGCTCCACAAGCTCCCGCGGAGACAGAGAGAGACATCGACTGTGAACTGCCCATGAAGCGTGGCTCAGCTACCACTGATCCTCCGCTACCAGATCCTGATCCCAAGAAGGCCAAGTTCGATGTCGCTCACAACATCACCACGGAGCTGCAGAACCTCCACACTCTGCAGTGGATGATCGATCGCAAGAGATTCTTTCGCTTGCACAATGAGGCTTTCTGGTCAGAGACCTACTATGTGCCCCGATGGTTCAACAAGATCACCAGAGAGATGGTCACACAGAAGAGCCAAATGCTCCACGAAAAGGCCAAGGAGAGAGGTACCTACTTGGTCCACCTGGCCAGTTCGAAGAAGCGCCACTTTTACCTTGACTTGTCCAATGGTGGCCGCTACATGTCTGTCACCGCAGAGGACACGATCTCAGAGACCGATCTGGCAGAGATTTGGCCATTGGTCGAAGAGGCTGATGGAAAGGAGATGGCGCAATTTGTGGAGGAGAAAGCCTTCGCCAAGATCAAGCTCTCTGACGTTGCTGATGGCACCGTGATCATCGACGGCACCTGGGTCAGACGATGGAAGATGAAGCTTGGCAAGAGAATTGTGAAGTCTCGAATGTGCGCCAGAGGTTGTTTCGACCCTCAAAAGGAACACTTGAGCACGAGGAGCACTACGGCATCTCGCTTGAGTCAACGGATTTTGATGAGCGCCGCAGCTTTGATGCAAGTGGATCCTGAGTCATGGGATGTTTCTGGTGCTTTCCTCAAGGGACTCTCCTTTGACAAGATCCGCGAGATCCTGCTCTCCCAAGGCATCAAGACACCCACACGATCCGTGGTGTTGATCCCGCCATACAATTGTTGGCGACACCTGGCTGCTGTTGATCCTCAGTTCCACCTGGAACCTGATGAGATTCCACTTTATGGACTACAATGCCTCAAGCCCGTGTACGGCCTGAATGACGCACCAGTGGCCTGGCAATTGAGTTTGGGAGTGTTTCTGAAAGAGCAACACGGTCAAGCTTCTTTGTTGGACGACAGCTTTTACTTCTGGAAGGACCCCAAGAAGAGTCCAACACTACGAGCAGCTCTCACTACTCACGTTGATGACCTTGCAGTTGTTGGTGGTGGTAACTTCATGGACGACCTCTACAAGACAATGTGCAAGAAGTTTGGCAAGATCTCCAAAGAAAAGTTGCCATTTCCTCACTGCGGCTGTCTGTACTCCAAGACTAAGGACGGCTACAAGATCGATCAGACTGAATTCGCCACGAAGCTAAAGCCATCCACGAATCCTCCTGGAGATGATGAGAGAACACTGACCGCATCTGAAGTCACCGACTTGCGCTCAGTTGTTGGAGGTTTGCTCTGGCTATGTTCAACACGATTGGACCTGGTGGCCGACGTGGGAGTACTACAATCAGCAGTATCTGCTCCTAAGGTGAAGCATCTACGAGCTGCAAATCTTCTGGTCAAGAAGGCAAGCAGTCCCGACCGTGTCCAATTGGGCCTGCACTTTCGCTACTTCCATGGAGCATCCAGCTTCCGCCTTCAGTGCATACATGATGCATCCTCTCCAAGCAAAGGACGCTCCTATGCTCAAGAGGGAGTCATGGTCCTGCTCATGCCCGAATTGCCTCAGCACATCCTCAACCAAGACGAGATCACTTGTGATGATGCAACGACATCACAGCTGAACGGCTATGGGCACCTCCTTTTCGCTCATGGAGGAAAAGCTAAAAGAGTGTCATACTCTACCTCACATGCCGAGACATTGTCGGCAGTGAATGGCTTGGAAGCAAGCAGCATGGTCAGTACTCGACTGACTGAACTTTGGATGGATAAAGCCAAGCCGACCTTGAATGACCTCACTCAGCACCAAGAAGAAGGCTCACGTTTGTTTCCAGTGGACTCCGCCACAGACTGCAGAGACTTCTATGAGCTGAGCACCGGATCTCGTGCTGTGCCTCAGGACAAGTTGCAGAGGCTCTACATCGCCGCCATCAAGGAGGCACGAGTCACTGGTCGCCTTCGCTACTTCATGCTCATTCCAACTCAGAGCATGCTAGCTGATGCATTGACCAAGCCAATGATAGCACCACAGATGATGGAGTTTTTGAGCTCAGGACACCTCTTCATGAAGAACGAGCCCAAGCATGTAGTGTTGCTTCGCCGCCTTCCTACACTTGAAGACCTTCGAGAAGAAGATTTGTGGAAGAGCGATGACCAGATTGCAAAAGAAGTGCATCAAGGATCCAAGATGGCAAAATTGGCCTGCCTGACAAGCTTCAAACTGAAGCCATGGATTGCCACCCTGGCAATGACATCATTGATGATGACCACCGTGTCTGCACAAGGCCAAAATGAACCACCGAGGCCAAATGAAAGCTCCAATGACTGGACATTCCTGATCATGATCTTCGTCGCCCATATGGCCCTTCGTTTTGGCGAGTTCCTTGTGACGTCAGGCATTCAAAGCCTTCTGCCTCGAAAGAAAATTGCCAGTCCACCATCTACTCCGCCGAACTGTCCAGCTGGAACACCAAGGACTCTGAATTTAGATGGATGTTCATCGACTTCCTCTACGGCACGACCAAAGCCGAGCTCTATTCCTGCGCCTTCCGCTGCTGTTCCAAAGATGCCTGCACCTGGCAGCCCGATCATCGACTGGTCTGCATCTGGCACGACCATGGTCAAGCAGCCGCCGCCTGCGCCGCCGATTGAGAGCGCATCTAGCTCTGGCCCTGGCTATGAGCGTGTGTATTTCACCGCCTCCGGTGAATGTTTCCATGTGAATCCGCAATGCGGACACCTTCGTCACCACCATGTGCTCTCAAAGCGCAATTGCAAAGACTGCTCCAGGATCCGAAACGCCAGTGGAGTTTAAAGATTGCCACTGATGTCACTTTTTGTCATGACACCTTTTCACGATCGCAGAGCGCTCTTGAGCTGGTTCAAAAGTCCGTCCTACCGACTAGAACGTTAGGAGGAGGAGACAAACCACCTAGGAAAGAGAAAGGCTAGCTAGAACATGTTGGACAGACATTCAAGATCTAGTTAAAGGCAACTGCATGTTCGTCTTAGCCTACCAACTGGATCTTGACGCTCTGAAACAGAAACATGAAATCACCCCTCCAAGAAGTGATACAGTTCCTTTCTTTGTGTTAGTTCTATCATTCTATCAATCAAACTATGAGAGCACACAAGAGAAAAAGAGCACGCCTGTGAGGACACACCTACTGTATGAGAACACAGATATTCGAGCACACAGATAATGTCCGACTTTTCTCAGGTGGATTTTGTCCTTGGGGTGGGTCCCTTCGTTTAGAGACCCTTCTTCCAATGCTCGTCGGATCCAGCGGGTCCAGGTCATGGTCGATGTGAAGAAACCATCGATGGACAAGACATTCATTGAACTTGATGAAGCCAAGGAGGCTGGGACATGGAGATTGCTGCCGAGTGGGATATGTAGTGCTGCTGAGTGGAAGTTGGTTAGGCTGGAGGATGGAATTGGCAATATCGCCATGATCCAAACTTCGAGTCAATTCATAGTCAGAGTCAATGGCTGCACTGGTGTTCATTGGTTCTATCTGCCTACGTCACCGAAGAGCTTCGATCAAGGAGGCCCTTGGAGCTGACGAAGTCACCGACAAGGCTTGGAGCTGGAGCTGAAAGTCAAGGCTACTAGCCAGCCATACTGCTATCACCTAAACCCTCAACATCTCACAACAGGCGGTTCTGAGTTGGTGAGAGTATTTGCTAGACCGCATGAGTTTGAAAGACCTTGACATTGATGCAATACATGGGTTCGGAAGAGATGAGATCTTGCTAGCTGCTAGTGCCTTGTGTGGCTAGGCTGAACCAGAGGTGGAGGACACTGCCAGCACGATGCTTGTTGTGTAGAAATGCATCGCAAGAATTTGATTCCGTGCCCACACACCAACACTTGCCAGCATGCCTTCTGATACAGCAGCAGCTACGGATTGATAGCAGTAAGATGTTGGGCGGTTGGCTACATTTGTTGGTATCATTTGGAGTGATTTTGCTGAAACTACAAATTACAAACGTGTGACTCTGACAGGACACGGGTCATGCCTCCAGTAGTGCTGCTTGAAGTGATGCGGATGATTCGAGGCTTAATGTTAATGCATTTGGGTCAGCTTGTGTGAATCTTGAAGAGAGGGCTCTTCCACAAGTTGGCGCGCATGAGGTGCCAGATATTTTTAATGGCGATCGCATGTCTTAGGAGTGTGGGAGTGTGGGAGTGCATTCCAGCATGTACTGTAACATCCTGTTGCTGATTGAGTGCAGTTCTCATACAGAAGTTGAACGTCGCCACTTGTTGTTGCGGAAAAAACTCGCCTCACCTGCACTTCTTCGTTAACCTTTACAGCCTGATGGCCTTTAAAGAAAGACTGTACGGAGTTTCTCTTTGGATGTTTGCACATCCTTCTTTGCTGACGTGGCTTTTTCAAGGGCTTTTGGGCTAGAAGACACTATGTGAAGAGGAACATCAGCGGCAAGGATAAGCGATCAAATTATACGGCAGTTTGTGTTCGATGTTTTCATTTTCCCCTATCCAACCTGACTGATGACCAACCTCACAAATCCTTTGAGGCTCAGCTCAAAGGAGTATGCGTTCGAGAAAAATTGATGTACCAGGGTCCAATGCAGATGCACACGACGGCCAACATTACCGCTGAGCTTGGGATGGGTGGACATTGGTGATTATTCCCCGAATTTTGGATTTTTGACTAACTTTTTACGAACAATAATTACTGCAACAATTCAAGCTCTATGGTGGAATGTATCTAGAACAAAGCCATTCTTCGCTGCCGGCAGCCGTGGCTCGAGATTCAGTCATGGCTTCCCAAATGGCTGGTGAGGCTGGGTCCTTGTGCCGAAAACTAGGGTCTAAGTGAGCTGGTATTGATATGTACAAGGGACCTCCATGTATAATGTAACGTACTGAGATTCAGTGTACTATAGTATCTCGAACTTGACAAGACAAACATGAATACAGAACATTAGCATTTGTTAGTTTATTGTGAAGACAATATCAAAAACAAAACACACAACATAAACAAACAAACAACTAAACTTTTAATCTCTTCGTTTGCCTAATATTCGGAACTTCTAAACCATGAAAAGGACAAAAACGACTAAATATTTGTGTTTTGCAGTGCTTGCAAGACTAAAGAAAGTTTGAAACAAACACACAGAAACTGAACATTTAAAATAGTTGCTTCTTAATTTTTTGTTGCGGAAGACTTAAAACAGCAAAACAACTAAAGCCTCCGTTCTTTTTTAACAGTCTATTCGGAAGACTCCGCAGAACACGAAGCAAGTCCTTCATTCTCCTAGGTTTCCCGGTATTTAGACATTCTTAAGACATAAAAACACCATATACATATACATACGTATGTAATATCTTTTTTCAAGAACTTCTCAATACCGGCAAACCTAGGAACATTATGAAGGAGTATGTTCTATTACAGTTTTTTAGCTTTCCGCAAAACAAAACAAACTACAACACTAAAAGCCGAACTCCTCGTTTTAGAATTTCTAAGATTCTAAATACCAGGAAACCTGGGAAGGTGGGAGATTTAGTTTGTTTTAGGTGGTAAGTTGACGGGTGGTTGGTAGGAACTTACTAGTCACTTGTGACAAAACTGTTCAGTCATGTTGCTCACTTTTCTTTTTCAAATTAAGAGTCTCTGATGTCGATCGCTCGATCGCCGGATGCCATTTTGGCGAAATGAAGCGATCGCTCGCCAGGTTTTTCTGTAGGGCCTGGGACGAGCGATCGAGCCATGTCCGCTGGTGGATCCAAGTTCCCTGCGGCATTCGAGCTCCAAATGAGCATGGCATCAGCTCGATGGTCCACTGGCTCCTGTAGAACTTGAGGCTCCTTTGGACAGCTCCTCAGCACCTATGGACCCAGTGCCTGAAGACTCACAGGCAGCACTGGCTGGCCAGCCAAAGTCCTTTGGACCCAGTGCGAACGCACCACAGCCTGCTGCAGCACCTAGTTCATCAAGTGCACCTGCTGCTCCTTCGGCTTCTTCGGCAACTGCAATTCTTCAAGCTGCCCACCTCAGAATCTGGCCCACAACCCGCTGAACAGCAAGCTGTACCTATAAATTGGTCGACTGGGTCCTTGAAGTCAAAGCCGCTCGGCGGCAGGAGCTGACAGAAGAGATCGAAGCAGCCTTAGTCTCAGAGGAGCTAGAGCCTGGTCAGGCAGGTAAGCTTAAGGGCAAACTCATGTTCGGTGCAAGCCAGCTCTGGGGGAAGGTGGGCAGGGAATTTTTGAGGGCGCGTCGAGCCTGCCGATCGCTTTGGGTTAGATCCACCTCTGAAAGAGTCCCTCTTGCAGTGGTTGAAGCTCACTCAGTGTGGACTTTTAGGATGATCGAGCTTTGTGCCAACAAAAAGGCTGACGCAGTCCTGTTCACAGATGGTTTTCGACCCCAGGTCCTAGAGATGCTGTGCAGTACCCCGATCGGATAGGTGCTGTGTTGGTCGATCGCCGGCTGATGAAGCCTTATAAGTTTTCGGCTATCGTGCCAAAAGAGCTGAAAGAGAAATGGCTGGTTCGCAAGACTCAGATCATTCCGGTCGAAATGCCTGCCCGGATCGTGGCTCTCGATACTTTTTCTAATCGTTTGAGAGGGGTTGTTTTCATTGATTCCGAAGTGGTGGAGACTCCTTCCTGCAGATCCGCCTTCAAGAGACGATTTGTCAAGGGGCGAACGCATGGGCTGGCAGACTGTGTGGGCAAGTGGGCGAGGTGGCCTTTCGAGCTGAACCAGTGACCGCTCGTGCGCGGCTGTTCGAAAGAGGTGCCGTATGGTGTGGGGCCTGGGTCTCGGGATTGAACTCCTGAAGCCATTTGTGTGGAGGATTCGAGGATCACCATTTATCCTGTCGGACTCGTGAAGAGATCACTTGTTCAGGATGTGAGTGAACCTTTGTGACCCCTTCTCTACTGTGTTCACTGATTTTGAACTCGGTTCGAGCGCTGTGACCCCATGCTCATAGCGCTCGTTCAAAAAAGAGACATGCGTGTCTGAACCAGTAACTGACCGGGAGCGGGGTTTTGTTTCGAGTGGGTGGTAAGTTGACGGGTGGTGGGTAGGAACTTACTAGTCACTTGTGACAAAACTATTCAGTCATGTTGCTCATTTTTTCAAATTAAGAGTCTCTGATGTCGATCGCTCGATTGCCGGATGCCATTTTGGCGAAAAGAAGCGCCACCCTGCCCTCCACCCTGCCCTCCCTAGGGCCGACTACTCGCCTCAGGGGGGCGCAGGCAAGGCCAGGCTCGTGTGTCGGCAGTGGTAGTGATTTTGATCAATGAAGTGATCAAGTGAGAATATTTCTTGTGTTGGGGTCTCGGGATTGAACTCCTGAGGCCATTTGTGGAGGATCACCATTTATCCTGTCGGACTCGCGAAGAGATTACCTGTTCAGGACGTGGGTGAACCTTTGTGACCCCTTCTTTACTGTGTTCACTGATTTTGAACTCGGTTTGAGTGCAGTGACCCCATGCCTCTAGCGCTCGTTCAAAAAAGAGCGCATCAGTCTGCTTTGACATGTCTGAACAAGCAACCGATCGGGAGCGGGGTTTTGTTTCGAACGGCTGTTGTAGTTTTGCGGACGACGAAAAAGAACACACATATAAACAAACATATATATATATATATATTTTTTTTCGTTTCTTGATGCCAGGAAACCTGGGAAGGTGAGGGGTTTAGTTTGTTGTTTTGTGTACTTTTGCGGACGACAAAAAGCAGAAAATTCTAAAGCGACTGAATATATAGTCTTATACTTGTTTAGTATCTTTTTTAGAACTTCTGAATGCCAGGAAGCCCGGGAAGGTCAGGGATTGAGTCTTTTAAGCTTTTGCGGGCGACTAAAAAAGATGCAAAGGACATAAGCAAAGCTAGACAGATATATATATATATACTGCCAGAAAGACAGACGTCTGGAAATAGGTATGCAGCATTTCTACTCCCTGCATTCTACGCTACGTTCCTCTGCCTTCATAACTCTTCCAGTCTACCCTACTGTACTCTAATCTTTAACGTGGAAGAACAAGTTCATGTTGTTTCACTGTTTTTTTCAAAGATCGGAAGAGTGCAATACAACAGGTAGGGTAGTGCGAGGAGACAGGAAACACACCCTAGACCAGGACTACTATATATATATATATATACACATATGGTTTATCAACCTGTGTTCGTTTCTGCTTTATTTGCATAGATCTACATTACCAGACCCTGTGCTACTTCTTCTGTTTGTTTGCCACCTTGCTCTACACTTGTGTGGTATCGTATAATATCCGAGTCTCACTGCATATTTCATAGGCGTGGTGCCTTTTCAAAAAAGAATTGAGTAACGTACAGAAGTTGGGCTGAAACTGAATGGAGGGTAGCGGGCTGGTAGGCAAGGGTAGAAAGTCAGAAAACAGCACCCTTTTTCTTCCATGTGTCAACTTTTTCATCAGTTCCTGTTCTATATTCCCTTAAATAACTATGTTGAGCAAATGCTGTCCTCTGCCAATACCTCGCCCTCGACTTCGGGCTCTTACCATTAAGCTTGATACTATTCACAAGAGTGAAGCAGGGTACGGCTGGCGTCGAGTAGATAGTGTGGAAAGGAGGTTGTTATTTTATGCATAAAGGTTCCCATCACAACACACACACACATATATATATATATTGTATACTCTGGAGAGAGAAGCAGCAAACAGCCTTGAGTCTCACCGTCACCTGCTGCAACTATCATTGTGACTGTGATCTCTGCAACGTGCGGTGCCGAGGAAGATGGTGACGCCATCAGATTGTCCTGATGCCCAATGATGCCCAATGGATGTTTCGGTGAAGTTAGGGGTTGATCCAGATACCTGTATCTACCTCTCGTTTGGAACGAGGATAGCGTGGCTTTTGGTGTTCATTGATTCCTCCACTTGCACCTGGACAGTATGCAAGGGGTTTATGTTTTGGATGTTTAGGCATGGCTCAGTCACACCAGGTTGCTACCAGAACACAGGTTCCAGCTTGAGTCAGGATTCCCAGCAGATCAGCTGCATGAATCCTATGCAGCTGCTTTTTGCAGCCTGCAGCACGGCCCGGCACACCCCCATGCTTCTTCCATGTTCAAAGGATCATAGCTCCGCTACTCGCAAGGTTCAAAACCTTTCTTGCCAGGTCTGCTAGAACTCCTTGTAAGACATGAGGCAAGACATGGCGCCCTGGTCATTAACAGGACATTCCACGTTGAGTTTCATTCGCGTCCGGCCTTGAGGTTAGATCCTGAGCCCATGGAAGGCTGTGTGGCATCGTGTTGCTGTGCTTGGAAGAAATGCCTACCATCCTGTAGGCTGTTTCCGCATTTCTGTTGCCGTTGTATTTTGGCGAGCAGCTTTGAACTCATCGATGCAAGGACCCCTAAGAAGGCAAGAGCTTGGTCACCGGAATGTGATTGGTGTACAGTTCTTTCTAAAGCTCGGCCAATCGGAACCACACAACAAGCAGAAACCGAGTTCAACTACCAGTCTACCAGTGATGGTTTGATCGTCCAGAGAGGCGTTTTTTGATGGACAACTGCAGCGAATGACGTTGCTCAATGAAAAGGCGTCATCAGAATTCTTCAGCAACCTCCCACACAAAGACAAGGCATGTGAGACGGGTCCAAAGTGACCATCTCTTAGCATTGTTGGGGATGAACATAAGGCCCGTTGAGGACTGATGTCCTTTGGGGGGACAGTCCACTGACGATTACTACCCAGCCTCGGATAAAACCTATGATGGTCCAGGCGAAGCTGTGCCCAGAAGCTGGCGCAGAGCCATCACAGTTCTGACGCTAGGTGCGGAGGACAGGGACTCGCTGCGAAGTGGTGGTCAAGTGGTTGTGACCCAAAATCAGACATCGAAACCATCCCCAGATGCACTGGGTGCACTGCGTGAACCCGCGGTTGCTCTGGTTGTTTGTGCCAAAGAAGGTGGGTCTCCTGCTGGTGGGGCTAGTGGAGTTGGGGATACTTCGACAATCCTGTAGAGCCTGTTTGACAAATACTCAATTCAGAATTTAAGGGACTCGTACCAGGTTTGAACACGCAGCATCCACAGTTGCAAATCCTTTATCCAATCTGTGATCGAGGCACCAATGAGTCCACTGTAGGCATGGATGCACAGCTGTGGTTTTGCAAGGGAGCAGTTGGCAGTTTCGAACCTATTCAACAGGGAGAACCTGCCCAAACGGGTGGTAGCGTTTTGTTGCCTTATTCTAAAAAGTACTGTAAGAAGCGTGTTAATTCAATAAGTTACCATTTGCCGGCATCCAACCTCCCAACTGATGCTTTCAAGGCTGTGCTGCTGCGCTTTTGCTAGGCCCAGTGACGGGCCAGTGACGGGCAGAGATGGCGTAGACCATGGGACCCATGGGATGGCATCCTGACCATTTCAGCCAAGGGAGATTGGATATACCATGTTTATGATTAATTATACCTTACTATATACTAGGAGCAAGAAGCTACTAGGGGCAAAGGGCATCGCTACTAGGAGCAAGGACGTTACTAGGGGCTCCTGGCCGTACTACCAGGAGCAATGTTCGCTACTAGGGGCTCCTGGCATTACTACTAGGAGCAAGGACGCTACTAGGGGCTCCCGGCATTACTACTAGGAGCAAGGACGCTACTAGGGGCTCCTGGCCGTACTACTAGGAGCAATGTTCGCTACTAGGGGCTCCTGGCATTACTACTGGGAGCAAGGACGCTACTAGGGGCTCCTGGCCGCTACTCCTGGCATTACTACTAGGAGCAAGGATGCTACTAGGGGCTCCTGGCCGTACTACTAGGAGCAATGTTCGCTACTAGGGGCTCCTGGCATTACTTGTAGGAGCAAGGACGCTACTGGGGGCTCCTGGCATTACTACTAGGAGCAAGGACGCTACTAGCGGTTTCTGGCCGTACTACTAGGAGCACTGTTCGCTACTAGGGGCTCCTGGCCGTACTACTAGGAGCAATTTACGCTACTAGGGGCTCCTGGCATTACTACTAGGAGCAAGGATGCTACTAGGGGCTCCTGGCCGTACTACTAGGAGCAATGTTCGCTACTAGGGGCTCCTGGCATTACTCGTAGGAGCAAGGACGCTACTGGGGGCTCCTGGCATTACTACTAGGAGCAAGGACGCTACTAGCGGTTTCTGGCCGTACTACTAGGAGCACTGTTCGCTACTAGGGGCTCCTGGCATTACTACTAGGAGCAAGGACGCTATTCGGGGCTCCTGGCATTACTACTAGGAGCAAGGGCGCTACTAGGGGCTCCCGGCATTACTACTAGGAGCAAGGACGCTACTAGGGGCTCCTGGCCGTACTACTAGGAGCAAAAGGACGCTACTAGGGGCTCGTGGCAGTACTACTAGGAGCAAGGACGCTACTACGGGATCCTGGCATTACTACTAGGAGCAAGGGCGCTTCTAGGGGCTCCTGGCCGTACTACTAGGAGCAAGGACGCTACTAGGGGCTCCTGGCCGTACTACT